TTTTTTCATGAAAAAAGTGTGCCTTTGCACAAAAAAGGTTGAAAAACACTGATTTAGACTACTGTTCAATCTGTTTCATAGAATTGTGGAACTGAGAATATTTTGGCTGTGAGCTCTTCTCTGCTGCTCAAAGCAGGCATTAAAGCATTGCAGACAGGTGGCTGCCTAGCCTCCATTTCAGCACATCAAAAAATGGGGAATCCACTACTTCTCTGGATTCCTCAATATGCAGCCAGGTTTTCAAGAATCTCTTGAAGGCAGGCAGGACAGGGGCCACAGAGCACCCTGTGGGAACACTGTTCCCAAGAGCAGACACAGCAGTACTTAAATAAGCACTTTCCATCATAAAGACTTACAGGCTTATAACTTAAGTAAGAAGATAGGATAACCTTTATCATTATTTCTTTTACTGTGAGCACACTGGCTCACATTAAAAATGAAATTCTGTTGTCTGCTGTCAAAAGAAAATATATACCCATTTAACACAGATGCACACCTGCTACACACACACACACACACACACACACACTAATTACTGTCAATTTTGAATACATAGCAGAAAAAGGAAACTTGAGTGTTCTCAATGGTAATGCTATATGGAACAAAACGATGATTGAATTTAGATGTTCTGCTTCGAAGCTTCCTCCCAGAAGGTAACAAGGAAAAAAGGTCTTGAAGAGGATGTGTAGCATCCCTGACAATACTGCAGATTATGGTTAAACATTGCTTATATGCTATGTCCTGGATAGAAAGAAAAGAACTACCAATAATATTTTCTGCCATCCTCACTATTCTGCACCACCTTCCTGAAGCAGTAATGCTTTCAAACAGACAGTAATGCAATATGCAGATAATACTACTACTATCACCACCACCACCACCACCATCACCACCACTACTACAGATTCTGTGGAACAATGAGCAGGTGCATTACACAAGACAGAAGAGGGATTCAATGGAGATCTGTGCCACATTATTATAAATCTAATTTTTGTCCCATAGGTGTACATAAATGTATAACAGCTCTGAAAAAAGTCACTTATGAGAAGTCCTTGCCATCACAACTGAGAGTTACGTGACCAAAATGTTTGGCATTATGACAGTTTGGCATTTAGGGGTCAAGAGATCACCATTTGCAACCTGCCCAGCCAACTACTGATAAGAAAAGTCAAGGACCACGATTCACTTAATAACAGTGAATGGGGAAAAAGGTCATTATGCAGGTGCAATTCACTTAACAACTGCCTTGTTTAGCAATGGAAACTCTGCTCCCAATTGTGGTCATAAGTTGAGAGCTACCTATCTTTTTAAAGGCCTGCATATGACCTCTCAGAAGAAAACTTTTAAAAAGTGGAATAGATATGGATTTAACAACATTGAGAAAGCAGATATTTGGCATAGCTCATCCAGTATAGATTTCATTCTATCCTTTTTCATGAGTGATACCTCTTACTTGTAGTACAAGCTGGTCTTACTTGAAAGCAGGAGAGGATAAACCTAAGAGCTCTGGTGCTGTTCTCCTCTCCATGAGAACTTTCTAGCAAGGGGCATGTTAAAGATGGAGAGGGTCTCTCTCTCCCCCCCCTTCCCTTCCTCCCTCCCTCTCTCTGATTTGAAGAACTGGATATTTACAGTACAATTTGAGTCAGTTGTCTGCAGGCCAACTTGTCCATGAAAGGACAATCAAAGCTTTGCCCAATCTGTTATCAGACCTTCAGACATATCAATTTGAATTATTTAATTTTCTAAGGGTGAGAATGGATAGATAGATATGTGGTTTAATACAGCTGGATGAAAACTTGGAGGCCTTCCAGTCCAACTCCCTGTCCATGGCAGGAGGCCCTATATAGTATTCTAATCTCTTCTTAAAAACCTCCAGCGATGAATTACCCACTTCTGAAGGCCAGCTGTTCCACTGCTTAATTGTTCTGTCAGGAAGTTTCTCCTTAGTTCCAGATTGTTTCTCTCCTTGATCAGTTTCCATCCATTGCTTCTTGTCCTGCCTTCAAAGGCTTTAGAGAATAGGCTGACCCACCCTCTTCTTTGTGGCATGATAGCAGTGTGTCAACTGTACACTTTTTCACTAAAAGTTAAAGGTAAATGTTCCCCTCACACATATGTGCTAGTCGTACCTGACTCTAGGGGGTGGTGCTCATCTCAGTTTCTAAGCCAGAAAACCAGCGCTGTCTGAAGACATCTCCGTGGTCATGCAGCCATTATGACTAAACGCCAAAGGCACATGGAGTGCTGTTACCTTCCCACCAAAGTGGTCCCTATTTTTCTACTTGCATTTTATGTGCCTTTGAACTGCTAGGTTGGCAGAAGCTGGGACA